AAATTTCTAGAACACCCTAGCTAACCGAAGAATGTCCCTAAAGCCCTCAACAGCGAAGAAGGAAATAGGATTCCCCTACAAACAGACACTCAAATTTCTTTCCAACTCATCACAACATCGAGAAGAACGAAACCTCCCGACACCTTTTATGAAGGGAATATTACTCTGATTACCAAAACCAGGAAAGGATGCAACAAAAAAAGAAAACTACAGACCAATATCCCTAATGAATATAGATGCAAAAATTTCAACAAAATCTTAGCTAACCGAATACAGACGCTTATCAAAAAAATAATCCACCACGACCAGGTGGCTCATCCCAGGATGCCAGGGATGGTTCAACATACGTAAATCTATAAATGCAATTCACCACATAAACAGAAGCAAAAACAAAGACCACATGATTCTTTCAATAGATGCAGAAAAAGCTTTTTGACAAAATTCAACACCCTTTCATGATATGAACACTTAAGAAAATAGGCATAGAAGGGCATACCTAAAATGATACAAGCATATATGACAGACCCATAGCCAACACATCTTACTGAATGGGGAAAAATTGAAATCATTCCCACTTAGGAACTGGAACCAGACAAGGGCTGCCCACTATCTCCACTTCTGTTCAAACATAGTGCTGGAAGTCTTGGCTACAGCAATCAGACCAGGGAAAATGGAATCAAAGGTATCCCAAATAGGGGCAGAAGAGATCAAACTTTCACTGTTTACTGATTGATATGATATTGTATCTAGAAAACCCAAAGATTCAACCAAGAAACTCCTGGAACTGATCAATGAATTTAGTAAAGTCTCAGGATACAAAATCAATACACAGAAATCAGAGGCATTCATATATGCCAACAACAATCTAATTGAGAACCAAACCAAAGACTCAATTCCCTTCACAATAGCAACAAAGAAATTAAGTACCTAGGAATATACTAACCAAGGACGTTAAAAGACCTCTACAGGGAGAACTATGAACACTGAGGAAGAAATAGCAGAGAATGTAAACAGATGGAAATCCATACCATGCTCGTGATCGGCAGACTCAAATATCATCAAAATGTCTATACTACCCAAACTGATCTACAGATTCAATGCAATACCTATTAAAATCCCATCAGCATACTCCCAGATATAGAAAAATAATTTTACGCTTCGTATGGAACCAGAAAGACCCCGAATATCAAGAGCAATTCTAGGCAACAAAAACAAAATGGGAGGGCATTAATTTGCCAGATATCAAACTATACTACAAAGCGGTAGTAATTAAATCATATGATATTGGCACAAAAATAGGAATATTGACCAGTGGAACAGATGTGAGAATCTTGATATAAAACCATCTTCATATAGCCATCTAATCTTTGACAAAGCAGACAAAAACATACGCTGGGGAAAAGAATCCCTTTTCAATAAATGGTGCTGGGAAAACGGGATAGCCACCTGTAGAAGGCTAAAACAGGACCCACACCTTTCACCTCCTCACAAAAACCAACTCACGCTGGATAACAAGACTTAAACCTAAGGAATGAAACTATTAGAACTCTAGAGGAAAAAGTTGGAAACACTCTCCTAGACATCGGCCTGGGCAAAGAGTTTATGAAGAAGTCCCAAAGCAATTACAGCAGCAACAAAAATAAATAAATGGGACATGATGGAACTACAAAGCTTCTGCACAGCCAAAGAAATAGTCATGAAAGTAAACAGACAACCTACAGAATGGAGAAAATTTTTGCATCCTATGCATCCGATAAGGGACTGATAACTAGAATATACTTAGAACTCACGAAAATCAGGAAGAAAAAATCAATAACCCCATTAAAAAAGTGGGCAAAGGACTTGAACAGAAACTTTTCTAAAGAAGACAGAAGAATGGCCAACAAACATATGAAAAATGCTCAACATCCCCAATCATCAGGAAATGCAATCAAAACCACAATGAGATATCACTTAACCCCAGTGAGAATGGCCTTTATCAAAAAATCTCCAAACAATAATGCTGGCGTGGTTGCGGAGAGAGAGGAACACTCCTACACTGCTGGTGGGACTGCAAACTAGTTCAACCTCTGTGGAAAGCAATATGGAGATACCTTAAAGCGATACAAGTGAATCTACCATTTGATCCAGCAATCCTATTGCTGGGCATCTACCCAAATGATCCAATGACACTCTACAAAAAAGACACCTGCACTGAATGTTTATAGCAGCACAATTCATAATTGCAAGGCTGTGGAAACAGCCCAAGTGCCCATCAATCCAAGAATGGATTAATAAAATGTGTATATGTATACCATGGAGTACTATTCAGCTCTAAGAAACAATGGTGATATAGCACATCTTATATTTTCCTGGTTAGAGCTGGAACCCATACTACTAAGTGAAGTATCCCAAGAATGGAAAAACAAGCACCAGATATATCTCCAGCAAACTGGTATTAACTGAGTAGCACCTAAGTGGACACATAGGTACTACAGTAATAGGGTATTGGGCAGGTGGGAGGGGGAGGGGGCGGGTATATACATACATAATGAGTGAGATGTGCAGCATCTGGGGGATGGTCATGATGGAGACTCAGACTTTTGGGGGGAGGGGAGAAATGAGCATTTATTGAACCTTAAAATCTGTACCCCCATAATATGCCGATAAATGGAGGAACAGGCTATACTGTCGATTTTGTGTCCTGTTATCTGCTCTTGTTCTGGGCGGAGCTGGGTTGGGTAAGCCTGCCCTCAGGCCATTAGCAAGGGTCAAAGTTCTGTTCTCTGCTTCTAGGGAAAGGTATCAGGGCGGGGCTGGAATGGTCCGGCTCAGCCAGAAAGTCTGCGTGTGGGGGTGGGGCTGTCTGAGACCGGCAGTCTGGAGCAGGCCTGGCTTCTTTCCACCCTCCCCAACTCCGCAGCTACTCCTGGGCCTCTGCCAGCAGGCCAGACCACAAGCCACCAGGCCTCCCCGGACTGTGATGCTGTCGGGGAGGTTCCCTGCACAGGAACGCCACCTGGGTTGGGCGCACGGCCTCCTCCTGGGAGGAGGGTTGCCCTCTAGGACGCCGATCCGCCCCTGGAGGCACACACACCTCAGTAAGCTGTTCACGTATAACCCTTCTGTGCCCCGGGCAATGCTAGCCCTCAGTGCAGGGGATCTGGTCTGCAGGTCCAACCTCTGGGTCCCAGAGTTCAAACTGTATTCCCACCAGGGAGAGGATTTCCGGTCCTAATTCACCCACAGGGAGCCCAAGCTGGGTCTATGTCTCTCAGCCTCTGAGTCGGCACCGTTCTCCTGGGAACACTGTGCCAGCAGCACCTGGGAGGACGGGTGGGTAGGGAGCTCACAGTCTGAGTTCTCCTGAGTCAGCTGTAGGGTCCCAAAAGAGAAGGTCCCGTTCCCTGGAGGTGCCTCTGGCTGGTGGCTGTATTGTCTCTCTGGGCAGCCGTGGGTAGGGTCGGCGGAGGGGAGGAGGAGGCAATATGGCTCCTGCCACGCGGCCCGGGTCTGTGCACACGGAGGTGCCCGGAGGAAGTTGGGAACCTGGTGCCACGTCTGCTACAGGCTCACTGCTGGCTGGCGGCGGCAGTCTCTGGGCTGATGTCCGCAGGTCTCTCCACCCTCTGGGGAGCCCACCAGCAGTCCCAAATGCAGGGGAGGGGAAACAGCAAATCCACCTACCCTTGCCGCTGGTCTCCGGGCTGCTCCGGTGGTCTCAGCCTCCAGTTCTCCTCCGCAGCCTCCTCCCGTGGAGTCTCCCGGGGTCTCAGGTACCCCTCCTTCCGGCCCTCGTCCGCTGTATGCTCGTCTTCTTGCTTCTTTCCTCTAATTTTCTCTTTGGAACTTCTTTCAGAGCCAATTTACATGTCTCAAAAAGAAAACTAATCTTCTCATTTTTTAGTTACTCCTCACTTTTGACCAAAATATGTTTTTTCAATTTGATATACACCTCATTTTCCTGAAACCACTCTGAGTAACTTTTGGCTATTTCCAAAAGTAAATTGACTTCAAAGAATGAAGATATATGATCATTTACCAGGACATTTAATAATGTGCCACGTTCCGAAGAAAATTCCAAAAGTGCTCTGAGTAATGGCAGCATCCATGGAATAAGGGTGTAGTTTCCCAAGGTGACTGACTGACTGGAAAGAGGCAGCAATCATTTGGATGTATAAATGCTGGTAGGTTTTTTTTTTTCTTTAAATCCTGTTACATCATTCTTACTGTTTTTATCCTAACATGGATGGCCTCTGGGAAAAAGTAGCTAACTGAGAAGATCCAATAATCTGAATGTAATCTGAATATAATCTTTTATATTCAATTCTATAAAGGCTATTAGTATTTATATCTTATTAGTTATGTTTTTCTTAGGTCAGTATTAATATAACTAAATCTCCCATTGGACAGCATGAAGATGTAGCAGTGGCACATACATGACTTTTGGAAAAATAAACCTGAGAGTAAAAGTTGCCCCCGAAATGCCTATGTATAAATGATCAGAATTTGTCATTCTAATAATAGTATTAAGTCTGATTTATCTCGAGTACTCATTCTGTTTCCCTAACATTTTATTTGACTCTATTAGTGATTACTTCATTGTATTCAGGTATTCGGTTTATATCCATATATTTGTTGTTGAAACCCTGCCACATTGGATGTTCAAAAAATGTTTGTTGAACTAAAGCAATTATCTTGAAATTTTGTTTCTCTTTCCTTCTTTTGCCCTTGAATCCTTGCTGGGTAAGTAATGATGGCCATAGTTACTATAATTATTTAATACTTCAAGAAAAATAGTTGCTTTGGTAGCTTTTGACACTTAATTACAATGCCTTTGGGGATTTATTTTTGTATAACTTGATTATCTATGTTATATCTAGTGTCTGTTACCACTAATTACTGAGATTTATGGTACTATTCTCTTTCCTTTAAAGAACTGCAATTACCCAACTGTAAAAAAACAAAAAAAAGGTACAGACTTACATAAATGTTTCACTTATGTTTTTCTCCTACTGTAGTCCACCAATTGATGACTTTGATGTATTTAAAGAATCAAAAGACCAAAATTTCTTCGAGTCACAGGAATCTATCATTACTTTATGTACTTACCTACAACAGTTGGTGAAAACTATTGAAGATTTAGATGAAAGTCAGCTGAAGAATGAATTTTTTAAACTTCTGCAGGTAAGTGTGATAATTAATCTCCCAACTGTACTTGGTAATTTAAACAGAAAATAAACTGGTACACAGTTAACAACAAAGCACGTATATATGGTTCAGTTATAATTGATAATTTTTTATCTAACAATAGTATTAAGAGATGAAAACCCATTTAATTTCTAAAAGTGAGTTTTGAAATCTCTGCTACTCCAACTGGAAATGATTTTAGTGGCACAGGAGTTTTCTGACTTCATAGATTCTTTTGAGAATACTTTGTCATGCTTTTGAGAATACTTCATGATGATTTGGTTTGTCCAGGCTGACTTGGTCTTCAGCATTGGGTCTGTTGCTTATTTGTGGTTGGACCTGAGGCATGTTATATAATTTCTCTGGGCTTCAGTTTCCTCGTCTGTTAAATGAGGATGATAAGATATAACTTATAATTCGAGAACTTAAAGTTCTCACTTTAATTCTAGTGAGAATTAAACTAGATTTATGCTGGTGAAGTGCTGAACACAGAGCCTGTTGTTTTTAGCAGGTGATAATACTTGGTGGTCAGTTGACCTAATAATAATATATTTCTTCATTTATCTTGTATTACATTTAGTTTTTAATTTATGCAAACATCCTAAAATTTCCAACATGTTAGAATCAGAACTGTCTGAAAACTTGTAGTATACAGTAGTATCCCCAGCCATCACGTTTTCCAGAAATTTGCTGACAGGTTTGCAGGGCATGACAAAGCCCTGATGAGACTTCAAGGGCAAACAGAGTCAGCTGAGAGATCACAAGTAAAGGCATATTTTGAATTTGGAAGAAAATTGTTAGGACATTGTTAACTAATAAACCTAGTCTTTTTGTTTTTTTGTCTTTTCCCCCCCTCTCAATTGTCCTTTATGCATAGCTTGGAATTGAAAATAAAAAGAAAAATAACGAGTGTGCCAGATCTGGGCTCCTAGTTAGCCCATTCTTTCAGGGAAAAGTCTTTGAATGTGTTCTTTGTCCCATATAAGTATAATCAGTTGTGAAGAAGAATGAGCACCCATCTATTGTCTGTCATCTAATTTGGCCAACAACTTCCCACTGCCACTCTGCTCCCAAGTATAGGGAACCATATTGAGCAACAGGTTAACATCCTAAGTCAAGAGAAGCTAGTTTGCAGAGGATGTTGACCCATTTTCAAAAGTCCTAGCATTGTCCGACTGTTCATGCAAACATTTCTGGGCATACTTTGTTAAACACTGTTCCAGGTGCTGAGCGCATGGTGGTGGGGAATAAAAAGTCTGATCTTCACTGTCGTAGAACCTGTAATCTTGAGGGAATATAGACAAATAATTGTACAAATAACTATGTAATTGTAAACTGGAAGATGGAGCGAGAGAATGTGCAGGAGGCCAACACAGAACCTGATTTCAGTTGGTGACGGCCACCACATACACCATTGTATGTGTTTCTTTAGCAAACTATAGAAAAGTGTGACCTTAGACACTGTAGTTATTATTTAAGCCTTATTTTTTTAAATCCATTCATCTGTTTTTAAAATAATATTCTTTGTTGGAACGTGCATTTTCTTACTTTAAAGCACAAATGAGAATAGAGTCTATTTTGGCTAATATTTTTTGGGAACTTTTGTATGTCAGATATTTGATACACTGTTTACATGCATTATGTCAATTATTTAATAATTCTCACAATAACTCTGTGAGGTAAGTATTACCGTCTTGTTTTCCAGTCAGAGAACCTGAACCTTAGAGATCTTAAGTAATTTGCCAGTGGTCATTAATTGAAGATGCTGGGATTTGAACCCAGGTCTGTCTGACTTAAGAGCCTGCAGTCCTAAACATGTAATTTTATAGCTTAAAAAAATAGTACTACATACCATTTTCTACAAACTAAAATTGTTATTTCAATTTAAAGCCAAATAATAGATAATTGATTGTGGTGGGTCTTTAGTTAACATTGCCTTGTCTAAAGAATTGGGTCTTTTTGTTTTTGGAGATAACTCCTGAGTAGCTAGGACTACAGGCACAGATCACCACACTTGGCTAGTTTTTTAAAAAAATTTTGTAGAGATGGGTGTATGTTGTCCTGGCTGATTTTAAACTTTGGCCTCAAGCAGTCCTCCTGCCTTGGCCTCCCAAAGTGCTGAGATTACAGGTATGAGCCACCGTGCCTAACCTAGAGTTGGGTCTTTAAACATCACCTTGTCCAACTTTTTAAATTTAAAAATGAGAGAACTAATCCCAAAGAGGTTATGTCCTATGATTATACAGTTAGTAAAAGAAACTGGGCAATTTCAGGGGCTTGGGAGGAAAAAAGGAACTTTTATTTTTCTCTTCAATCTGGATAATAAAGTAAACTCTGAGCCGCTCTTTGCAGCATCTGATGATGTTCTAATATCTGTAAGATGCAAAAACTTTTACTCTGAATAAATAAGGATGCTAAAATCACTAAAACCAGTTCTTTTAAGTTCATTATGTACCAATATTAAAAATTTCACTGTTTTACCTTATTAATTACAGCATCATATAAACAGTCTTTGCATTATCAATGTATAGATTTTATATTAAGAGTTTATAGAAATTTATGACTATTTTTAGCACCACCCTCCTCCACACACACATATATTATAGTAGAGTTTTTGTTGGTTATTCAGAAGAAGGGTGAATGTTTTGTACTTTTTCTTTTTCAGATTTCTCTGTGGGGAAATAAGTGTGATCTGTCTCTATCAGGCGGAGAATCTAGTTCTCAGAAGAGCAATGTAATAAATTCTTTGGAAGACCTAAAACCTTTCATTTTACTGAATGACATGGAACATCTTTGGTCATTGCTTAGCAATTGTAAGAAAAAAGAAAAAACATCTATTAGAGTGGATATTGTTCTGGATAACTCTGGGTTTGAACTTGTTACAGACTTTATATTTGCCAACTTCTTGTTGTCCTCTAAACTGGCTACTGAGATCCATTTTTATGGAAAAACTATTCCGTGGTTTGTTTCTGATACTACTATGCATGATTTTAATTGGTTAATTGAACAGGTAAAATGTAGTAATCATAAGTGGACATCCAAGTGTGGGGCTGACTGGGAGAACTATGTTAAAATGGGTAGATGGGTTTACCATGATCATATATTTTGGACTCTGCCTCATGAATACTGTGCAATGTCTCAGGTCGCCCCTGACTTATATGCTGAACTACAGAAGGCAGATTTAATTTTATTCAAAGGCGATTTGAATTATAGGAAGTTGACAGGTGACAGAAAATGGGAGTTTTCCATTCCATTTCATGAGGCTCTGAACGGCTTCCATCCCGCACCTCTCTGCAGCATAAGAACATTAAAAGCTGAGATTCAGGTTGGTCTGCAGCCTGGGCAAGGAGAACAACTCACAGCCTCTGAGCCCAACTGGCTGACCACTGGGAAATATGGAATATTTCAGTATGATGGTCCACTTTGACTCAGATTAGGAGCAATCAGTTGTGTGGAAAGGTCTACCAAGCATCTTTTCAGCCCTAGAAAAGCAGTGTGCCAGATTCAGTCACTTGACTGCTCTGCATTAGCTGGGAACCCTAGCTTCTCCATGCTCATTTACATGTACTCATTTTGTCCCACTGCATTGTTTTGGGGTTAGACGGCTTTAAGCTATTATAGTTATATATATTTATGTTTATGTTGGCATTTCAGTAACTTGTTTCAAGTTAAATGCATAATTTCAAGTGGTTTTAATGAACTTTTAATTGGATAGAAAGCAAAATATAAGTAAGTTCTTCTTTTAAAGTTACTTAATCCTATCTTTTTCTTAAATAACATATACTGCATGGTATTTAATATTCTAGAAAGCATGGAATTTAACTTGATTTTGGGCTCTTGAAACAATGGCTTTGTGAAAATACACATTTTAATGACTCTTTGTAAAGAGGCATTTCTTACAACTGTGATGTTTGAACACATTAAAGCAAAACTTACCTCATAAGTTAATTTTAACTTTTGTTCTTGAATTTTACTTCATTTCAATAGCTTGTTTTATTTGCATGTATTTGTATCTTGATTGGCCTATGGAATGGATATTAGGAAACACAAAATTGAATAGAGTGAAACAAATAGTATTTGAAGAAATGTAATACCTTTTACATTCTATTTATGATATCTTTAATAAACTGAAATTATTTTACCCCTTAAGTGCTTTAAATGAACAGATTTTTAGTTTGCAGTTTAAAAAAAATGTTTTAGTAGAAAAGATTTTTATGCATTGAACTTGGACTACTATCGACACTTTATTTTTTATATTGTTACACATTTTATTGGCCTTTATCACAGATATTAAGGGCTAAAAATTTCAGATCACTTTGTTTTGAAATGGAAATTGGAAATGAACCTGGAAATGTTTTCTTGCACTTGAATAATAAAATGAATTATACCAAAAATCTCATTGGTTTTATTTTCCAACCGGGAAAAGTCAAGAAAGGAACATTAAAAATGAAATTTACATAGCAAAGAAACTCATAATGTGTATTACAGATGTTGCTAAAAGCAGTAATTAAATAATGCCACTTACAAATGGGTCTATGCTCTTGCTAAGTGCTTAAAACTTTTTTATATTAATAAAATATTTACATAAAACTGCACATTTTGAATTGACTGTGTTTCCCTATCTACATGTGTTCCTTTTTAAAACTTTGTTACTAAAATGCTTCCATTTTAGAATTCTTTATAGACACTTCACATAATTTAGAACACAGTTGTATATTTGGGTTGTCTTCATAGCCACAGTGTGAGCTATTGTGTGGTAAATTATTTCTCCAAAGCACTTGGGTTTTTTTCCCCTTACTTTTATCATGTAGTTTATTGTTATTAAGAACATGACATTATGGTGTATTCAGAAGTAGTTCAAAACCCCTCCCTACCCCTGCAAGAAAGAGCAAGGGCAAGCTAGTGCAAGAAAGAGAGTATAATAAAGAGATCATTTACAAACTTTAGTCAGGATTTAGGAAGCCTAACAAGAAATACTGCAGAACAGACTCCCAGAGCTTAGGGGAGGGAATGGTTACTCGAACTTGGGGGGGAGGGTGGTTATATGGAAAGAGCTGCTTGAGAAGAACTGCGGGCTTTGATAGAACACAGTCAATCATCCACTACTGGACAGAATTGGTGGTATGAATACCCTGACTTCCCTCTCCTTCTGCCCTCTGTTCTCTGGCCAGAGCCTCCCATTGGCTCAAACAACTGGAAGCCTGAACACAAGAAAAGTCAGTGCTTCCCCAATCGAGTCACTGAAAAGAGGGAGAAAAACATTTTGCAGTGATACTGCAAAGGCTTAAAATGTTTGTCCTATCAGGACAGGCAGTAAGGTTGGATTTGGCCTATGGGCCACAGTTTGCCTACTCCAGCTAGGACAAGGTTTAGGATGTGGGTACATTTTCCATTTGGATAAATTTAAATTATTTAGTAAGTGATTATGTAGGTAGTATTCAGATACAGCGCAAAAATCATAGAAGGCGATAAAAGAATGACTAACATTTGGAAAACATTATACAGGGAAACACCGTGGAACAGTGGAATTACTGGCAGTCTTGAGCGAGCCCTGAGGTTTATGGTCATGATTTTAAATGAAACTAGTCAACTCAAATGTACGATTTTTCTCCTATATATTTCAATTGTTTAAGAAAATGGAACTTAGTTACCCTCAACCAAGGTCAGGGTTATGCCAGGCGAGTAAGATAGAAAGAGGAACGAGGTAATCGATTGTATTTACCAGGGAGCCATTATAATGATGGAACATGAAATTTAAGCTAGATAGTAAAGAAAATGAAGATAGGAGGAAAATGAAGGAATATGGGAGTTTGAAAAGAGAAAAGGATAGGACCGATGAATGAGAGGTCTTGATGAGGTCAGAACATTGTTGCAGTGGAACTATTCTAGTGAATTGAAAGGACAGTAGGTGGTGGTCAGAGTGGGGATGCTTGAAACCAGAGATAGTGTAGTTCCTGGTCTAGGCTGTAACCATGGGAACAGGTGGCTCAGTTAAAATACAGAGAAAAAAATCATTGATCCTGAGGCAGGTAATCAACTGTATGGTCAAGATGTTGGATGGGTCACTCAGTCAGATGTTGATGTCACCGAGGATGATGACAGAGGAAGGCAACCAGGAAAAAGTCTTCCATAGATGTAGTTGGCAAATTTTTTCTCAGGAAAATCCAGCCCTTCTCCTTGGTGGCTGAAAATAATAGGTTTTCCAATGAAGATGGTGTAAAGTATTTCTTCACCTTAACCAAGATGGAAATCAGTAGATTAATCTTTAATTGAAATTGAATTATAAATGAGATTGATTCTTTTCATATGTATGAAAAAAACCCAAAAAACCACAAAACCCAAAAGCACCTATAAAGTGTAAGAGAGATCTTGTCCTTTATAAAAGATATTGGGCCAGGCGTGGTGGCTCCCGCCTGTAATCCTAGCACTCTGGGAGGCCAAGGTGGGCAGATTGTTCCAGGTCAGGAGTTTGAAACTAGCCTGAGCAAGACTCCGTCTCTACTAAAAATAGAAAGAAATTAATCGACCAACTAAAAATATATATACAAAAAATTAGCCGGGCATGGTGGCGCATGCCTGTAGTCCCAGCAACTCGGGAGGCTGAGGCAGAAGGATCGCTTGAGCCCAGGAGTTTGAGGTTGCTGTGAGCTAGGCTGATGCCACGACACTCTAGCCTGGGCAACAGAGCCAGACTCTGTCTCAAAAATAAAAAATAAAACATATTGAATGTCCTTGGATTTATCCCTGAACTTGGAGGCCTTCAAACAGTGTAAGTAGATAGACTCTGGAACAAGACTGTCTGAGTTCAAATCCTGGCTTTGTTTATTTTCTAACTTCTTGATCTTAGGGCAGTTTCCTTAACCTCCTTGGTCCTATCTCCTCATCTGTAGTACAGAAGTAGTAACAGTACTTAATCCACAAGGCTGTCATAAGGATTAAATTATTTAATGCATGTGAAGTGCAGAGTCTGCAGAACTGAGGACAAAGTACAAAATAAGTGTTAGCTATTGGCATTAGTATTCTAAAACGCAGAGTAGAGAATTCCCCTGTAAGACACCAACAAAAAGGACTAGAAAAGCAGTGTTAACTCTTATTCTAAATTATACTTAGCAAGATCATAGACTTAAATTAAAAAAAAAAACGAATAAATAAGAATAAATTTTTAAAGCATTTTTCTTTACTTTTAGAAAATAAGAATTCTAGAAAGAGGTTGGATGCAATAAAGAGGTGCCTCACCTTCAAGAACTTAGAAATCAATGAGCCTCATATGGTTAAACCAAAGTGGAGATATACAAAACACCTTAAAAAGACACACTCTCTCTCCAGCCAAAAGAGGACTTTGAGTTAATTGAACATATTAGTTAATATATAAAGAAATTTTGCAATGATCACAAGAGAGTTTATTCTGCAATGGAAGCTGAGGTTGGGGCTGCAGAGTGCTGAGTAGGTAATGGACTTCAAATGCCAATGCCTTGTCCATTTGAGAGCTTTATTTCTCATCTAAATCAATAAAGGGCAAGATTTCACCCTCAAAGCCTGCAAGCCTGTGGCCACAAAGCCCTCCCCTGAAAACCTGTCTTCCCTCAGGACCCTTGCCCATTCACACGATGTGGCCAGGAGTGGTCAAGAGAGGAGGCCATGAAGGTCACAGTTGTGACCCCTAAGAAAGGCCAGTCAGGGTTACCCTAAGGCCCTAGTGAGAAAATGATTTTGCTCTCAAAGTAGGAGTTCTTGGAAGACCAATGTTAAAAATGCCTCAAAAAAAATGACAATTTGCCAAACGTTCCGTTAAAATCAACTTTCAAAAGCAAATGTGGTTCCTAAATTAAGCAAAAATGTCATCTTCTTCTGGATCTTTAAAATGCTCTTATTATTTTGGAAAATCTTACGGCTTTGAGTGTTGGTGGGGAGGAGTGTGGGATTTTCCTGACCCCATTTTAGACATGCGTTAGATTTCTTTTAAAATCATGCCAGTTTTCTTTCAAAATCAACAAATAATCTTGCTTTTAAAAGTTGAGTAAAGACTGTTTCTCATATGTACTTACTCCCTGGTTTCTCTGTGTTGATTCTAACTTCCTGCTGAGGTTTCACAAAATAATTCAAAAATATTTCAATAATTTTTCTGATTCAAACCAGGGTAGATTTTATTACCAATTGACGTTTAACCAGCCTTATACGTATGTATAAAGTGATTCTCATCTGCCCCTCTCCGAAGCATCATCATAATAAATTAGTCTAATTTTTGGAAAGAAGTTTTATCTTCTGCTGATTTACAGATTTAACCTCAATTAAAATACCCTATTTATAAACTTGCAATACTGGTCATAAATTTACTTGGTCTATAAAACTTCCTCTTATAAAAGAGAGAAGCAAGCAAGATACAGGAAGATGAACAATTGGCTAATCATTTTTAAAGAAATAAACGCTTCAGCTTCCCAGGGACAGATGTCTCTTGAGATAGTTTCTAAAAGTTTTATTACTAGATACAAAACACTGATTTGAGTGTCAACTGCCTTTATTTTAGTTGATAAATCAGTCTGCTCAATACAGAGCACTGATTAGAATGTACAATGAGTTAAAAAGAGAGTAAAGGGCATTTAACTCTATCCTCAAGAACGTTTAGATTAAAGATGAATGATGAGATTTGTAACAGAGAAAAAACAAAAACACCTCAAAAAAATTAGTCACAGAGCAATATTGCCAAGATGCTAAGTTATAACTGGAGTTATAAAAGTACCTGATGATAGTTTGGAAAAGACTTCTCTGGGGAGGTAAATCTTATGAGAACTCTGAAAATAAAACGAGAAAAAGAATTTTTCTAACTCCTAGCACTTTGTGCTTGGGGGTGGCCATTTTGAAACACGTGTGTAAGAAAAGCTCTCTGAAGCAGTTCTTATACATTTCAGTATTTACACATCGTCACAGAAACACAAACATAAATGCAGCCTGACTTGCCCCAAGGCAAAAACATAAATCTCAGGCCCGTTTATGTTTTCCAATTTTTATATCTCAGTCATATGTGTAGCAGAGACTGATTTGCTCACACTAAACCCAGTTAGGTGTGACCTTGAATTCTGACCTTTGGGATGTGGCAAAACTGAAGCATGTCACTTCCAGGTTTGGCTCATAAAAATGTCCTGTGTGACTCTGTGTGCTCTCTCTTACCCTGTGTTCTGGCTAGATCTTGATTCCAAGATGTCCTCTGAAGCCACATACTGAAGGTCCCTGAATGCTTCATAGAGCCAGTAACCCCCCTACTTCCCACACCCCTCTCCCAGCCAGTTGTACTTTCATCAGAGTATATTTTATTCTGTTAAACCACTGAGCTTGGGATGTTTATCTGTTACGGCAGCTAGCATAGCTTTAACTATATAATGTATCATTTTTTAAAAAAACAAAACAAAAAGACATATATGTGATACTGCTGAATTGTGTTGGCGAATGTTAGAAATCTACAAAAGACTTATTATGAGTCATTTTCATTTTTAAAGGTGAAAAATAAAACATTTGAATAGTGAGTATAACTAAAACTGTAGGTGTAGATACAGTTAGAAGAATGCATGAGTGATAAATTCGAGGGGAAATTTCTTTTTCATTTTCTTTTCTTTTTTCTTAGAGAGAGGTTGTCACTCTGTCATTCAGGCTAGAGTGCAGTGAGTGGTGTCATCACAACGTACTGCAACCTCAAACTCCCCGGCTCTAGCGATCCTCCTGCCCTCAGCCTCAGCAGTAGCTGAGGGTATAGGTGCCAACGCTTGACTAATTTTTTCTTTCTTTTTTCCTTTATCTATAGGGCCTAAGTAAAGGCCTCAAACTCCTGGCCTCATGCCATCCTTCTGCCTTAGTCTCCTGAGTCGCTGGGATTGAAGGCTTGAATTGCCACACCCAGCAGAAAATTCTTTTTCATATTGGATTGGGTCAGACCTGGAATATATAGCTGTTTCTAGCGGGGGACCGGAATAGCTCCTGACTGTGGAGAGACAGGGACTCTTTATTCACAGAACAAGAAGTTTTTGAGTGTACAGTTTTTGAGTGCCTTTTCTTCCTTGTGTAACACTCCAGTACATTTTACAGGAAAGCAAATATGTAAGACGTACCATCTAGGGTCTAGGCTCTGCTCTGACTGAAGTGGGAGTTCGGAGTGTGGCTCTAGTCCCCAACTGTTCCCGGCACTCCTGGAAACACCTAAGCAAAATCCCAGGGGCTCTTAGCATCACAGTTTGAAAGCCACAATTTATGTTAATTCAATCACAAAATATTAAGTGAAGTCACATCAAACATCCTTAGTTTCCCTTATAACTTACAATGGCCCCATCACCTATCAGTGTATTTGTAGTTTTGGAAAGTATTTAAATTTTCTGCCTGTCTAAGCTCTTAGGTAATAGATTCTACTTTCCTTTAAAATATATTTTTTTATATCAATCTTTCTTTCCCTTCTCTCTCCCATCAGCCTAAGTCAGGCCCATGTTACATGATACTTTGCCTCAGTTTCTCCCCACCCTCCCAATCCAACCTCTTGGATTCTGTTCTCCAGTGGCAGCACGAGTGGACTTCACCAAACACGAAGCCTGTCCTCCTCAGAAACTCTCCATGGTGCCCTGTCACCTACAACTGCAGTTTTCCAGCCTTTCTCCTTTTCAAGCCAATGTATCTTTGTGGAGACCTTTTTGGGGATCCGGGATCAATTTGGAGATTCCCCTGTTGACCTCGTTAACAAAGGGGAGCACTAGAGTCACACTAACATGCCTCTCCATGATTCCCACTGTACATGTCACCCTAAGCCCCTCAAGTACCTCCACAGAATCTCCAAGTGTCCCCAAAACCACTAATTGAAAACCAGTGGCCAATAGGACAAAGTCAAAGTTTTTAGAGTTATCTTTCTGAACTCTGGGAGATCTTACTATTTGTCCTTAAATAGTAATTTATGGGGCCATAGAAAGAGCAGAGGGCTTGGAAGTCATTAGGTTCAAGTCCCAACCCAGCCACTTACTAGCTGTGTGGACCCTATTGAACCTCTGTTGTCTCGTAGATCAAGTGAGTGTAACAATACCTCTGTCAGTGCTCTCGTGATATCCCATGGTATGTGTCTTTGCAAACTGTGTGCTAGAGCACTCTGCTTATGGGAGGCAAGATAGACGGTGGCAAAAACTAAAGGTTGGGACCTGTTGACTTTGCTCAAATACAGGTTCTGCCATTGGCTAGTTTCTTCTTCTCTCAGAGTCTGTTATCTCAT